CATATATATACATGCATTTCACGACACACTTATCCCTAAATGACATGTTTTTGAGACAAAAAATGAGCTCAATTAACAGTGCGCCTAAGCCTCCTTTAGCATCCAAATTAAAACGGCCTCAATCCTAGGACACAATTGGCACGGGTATTTTTCAATTTACTAAGATCATTGTTCCATTTTCTAACAGATGCTGGCATGTTCGAAATGCGGAGGCTTGGTCCACGCAGGATTCAACAGGTCTGTCAACCCGGTTTCACTTGCTTTTACCACACCATTATCTGATGCCTCTGCTGGCACTTGGGCTTGTCGTCTTTGCACTTCCATAGAGGCCAATAATGTTGACCTGGGATCAGAAGCAGCCAAAACAAGTCAACTACAATCAGTCCAGGTTTCCGCCGCCTTCCGATATCTTACTTACGAACTGGCCTGTCTTGGCATCCAGACACGCCTGGGGGTCTCCCAATTGGCATAAACTACCCGGTACTTTGAACTACCTAACCACAGCCCTTTCATTAAAACAACGATTGAAATCATATCTGGCAACTATCCGGTTCTGATGCACCGCCTGTACAGTCGTACCTCTACAACTGCCTGTTTATCTTTGATGAATTTTGTACTTCCTATGCCGGCTTGCCCTTAATTAAAATATTTTTTCACTTTCTTTTTTGCTTTTTGATAACCGAATGGATAGACTCAGATTACTACGAGTCCATTAAGAAGTAGATACTCTGTTGATTTGAGCAGCTCGCCTACCCAAACAGGAGAGTTTGGGTGCAAGTGCCGGAGAATTCATTCTCACTCCAAGGCTTGTCTGTAATGAATCAGGACATGGGCGAAAAAGACTAGTTGACGCCACGTTAAGTAGGCATACTAGCCTTCGATCACGATGCCAAACTGTATAATCGGCACAATCGAGTGCGGGAGGGATAACTACGTAAGCCAATTGTAATTGCAAATTGTAATTTCTCATGTAGGAATGATTAAAATGTATAAACCGGTCTAAAATAGTATCAGTATATAAAAATAAAATTAAAAAATGCGCAGGTAAAATGGCAAGGCCAAGTAAATGCATCTACGCTGAGCTAGATCAGCGAAGACTGGTTACTAGAGCCCAGTGTGACTTGGGTAGTGGGAGGATTGCGGACAGTTACGCTGAACAATTCAGTCTGCCGCTTGTGATGTCGCGCAGTTCTCTGTTGGCGAGACAGGCAGGCCGTAATACTAGGTAAGCGCAAAAGGGCTCGCTTTTTGGAATCGAGAATTGCTTGCATGAGAAGAGAGTGATGAGATTGTCCAGTGCTTGAAAGAATGGAAGAGCCTTCTTTGCAAGTCAGAGGAGGGACACCGGTTAGTGAACCACTGCTAGAAGAGGAACATGTTCCAGTCGTAGCTGGTGCTTGCGCTAGAGGAGACTGCAGAAAAGCAAAAGGCAATCAACGCATACATTTTAAGAAATGAAAATCTATGGACAGAGCGTAAGTACCGTCGCTGCAGTAACTCCTTCAGACATAAGCATATTTGTCCTTGCTTTAACTAGCTCTTCGAATTCTTTCCTTTTCTGACAGCAATCATTCGAAGGCACAGATTTGCGCCCCTTAGATTTGCCTTTTGTTGTAAAACTGTGATCAGGATTATTGAGCTCATGTCCGTCGGGGGCACATCGGCTTACGTTAGCATGCTTGTGTGAAGTATTGCGGGCTGGATAATCAGGAATAGGTGCAGGGTGGGGTTCATACGAACTCGTTGCTACCGTGAGTGGCTTGTTGAGAGGCCCCCTCGTCGTCAAAGACTGATCGTAACTGAAGTGAGGTTGTGAAGCATGGTCTTGAATGGGTAGAGGCTGCGTAACATTGCAGGAGTAGTCCGTAAGGTTATTGAAATGAACAGCCGGGTTCGAAGTAGCAAGATTGAGTGAGTTATGAGCCTAAATAAGTTGAATACAAATACGTCGTTTACAAAACACAGATTTACCGACATACATTGTTGGAATTAAAATGTTGAGAGTACTCTGCAGCTGCAGCTGCGACAGCGGCGACCGCAGCAGAATGGAATAGGGGATAAGCGTTCGGTTGGTTTCCATAATTAGCCAGGCTGTGGGCCTGATAATTTAAGTAACCTCTGAAAGGATCAGATGAATTGTAAGGATTCGACGTGTGATTATGAAAGTTGGAAGACATGGGTTCACCGTTGCGGAATGAGCGCGGCAGCCAAAGGACCCAAGATAACGAGCAAAGACCCAAAGAAAGTAGCAGTGTAACAAAGAAAGAAATTACTTGTCTGAAGCTCATAACTAGTTCATATTATAGTTTAATATTTTAATAATACCTAAAATTACACTTTTTGCAATTATTTGAATTGTATTTAAACCATTGTATAAATAAACAAGAAATTAAAAATAATCAACTGTTTTTTTAAATTACAATTGTGCGTTCTTAATGAAGGTTGATTTATGCTTTCGGTTAGAACTATTTATAATAATATAATCTTTTATAACTTGACTATTTTAGCGAAAAACAAATAAATATGAGCAACTTTTAAGCAATCTGATATTGCCAACATTTGTTTCCGCCAAAATTTCGGTTACTTTTTGCAAACATAGTTCAGGTTTTGTAGTAATGTTTAGTTTTCCTTAATCTTATATTAATTTTTTTGATATGTTTTGCATCGAGCGAGCTTGACCACAGTTCTTCACAGTCAATCGGATATCGCGAAGGGATAGACCTAAAAGTCAGCATATCATAAATTGAAAGTCAAAATTTTACAAGGCTAAACTGAGTTCACTTTTATTTTTAATGCCGTTATTTATCACTTATGTCTAAGAACAGAGGGATGCTTAAGACATTGAAAGACAAATGAAGATTTATTGACCTATATTTTCTATTTAATTGAAGATATGAAGAACAATATGTCGTGGCTTATAGTATAGTTGCAGTCCCCTTCCGATTTATAGAAGTTGGTTGACCTCGTTGTCGCAAATTAGGCTTTTTGTCAAGGAGACTTAGTAGAACGCAATAATTCCGAAGCCATCTGCCATAATAGTTATCAATACACCTGCTATTCACCACGAACCAAACTCCTCTGATCGGCTAATCCGACTCAAGCCCCTTATTCTGATCTCCCCCATTGTCTTTTAAATCCGTTCATCATCTTACTGGTTAACCGATTTCACTCGGTTCTAGTTTTAGTGTGCATTTCAATCCAGGCGCTATTTCTCAAGGTCTAGAGGCACGTAAACTGCCGCCTCACTGAGCAGAGCGCCTAAACTCTGAATCCCATGCTTGGAGATATCAGGCCTTCCCTTTACTGGTCGTCTTCTTGATTAAACCGATATTACCTGAGAAAACTGTGGATGACTATCTCTGGTCGTATGCGGAATCTCAAGTAGATTTTTAGTATATTTTGGCCATAACGCCAAATTTATGTGATGCTTTGCTTATCCGTCTACCCAGCTCCCTGACTTCCAGTTATACTAGTTCATTAGAAACGGGCATTACTTATTGACAACGTCTTCGCTTGATTACCGAAAAACCTCGTCTCCCATTTTCCCCATCGCGATCACTTTTCCTCCGGTTAGCCATAGATCCTTGATCTAGGCGTCTCCTTTTTGCTGGTGGATCTATTAGCCGATCAAAGAAGAGGGGTTCGGGTTAATAGCATGCGTGATGAGGCCACACTATATTTGCCACAAAAAAGCACACATTTTTATGAGTGGAATGTAAACAAGTGAGAAGTTGTGATAGGCCTGAAGTTTGCTAAGAAGTCAAAGAGTAGATAGATAGGCCAGGACAGTAAGAGGAGTGATAGTGCAACCGTTTTCGGCAGAACGTTTGTTGAGGGATTGACTTCACTTGTCTCTTTGACGAGTTCGAGGCTTAGTACGGAGAATAGCTAAGCTCACTGATGATGCCGACTACGATTCTGGCGAAACGTTTTAGAATGTTCCAGGGCTTCTATCTGATGCTATGCATCATGACAACTACCATGGCAGACGACTTTGGACTAGATGCATTATACTAAGTCGCCCTGACAACGAGACCAAGTTGATGCAACGAGGTCAACCAACTACTCTATTTTCTCTTACTCTTATTCTCCAGAGCAGGTCTTATTAAATATGACAAATGAAATCTGACAATATTTCTTGATTGATTATTTAGTTGTAGCATAACGATTCTGGAATATACATAATGGTAAATAGTCTAATTGGCCTTGTATTAGATCAAAAATATAGGCCTAGACGAATAAAGAAGTCAAATCTTTTATCCAAGTTGTTAGACCTTGTTTTCCCATTTTGGTCATATTATTAGGAAGACTTATAGGAACGCACCTTGTCCTGAGTTTTTTGTATGCATAATTATTTCCAAATTCGGACCGTGGATGCGGTACGTTTCCAGACGTTTCAATGCATTGTAGTCGGAATTCTCAGTGAGTTTTACCATTTGTAGCACCATATTACAACTCGTCAAAAGACAAGTGAAGCCGATCCTTTGACCAAACGATTGCTAAACAGCTATGGTATGTCCCATTCGGCCCTGGCCTATTCACATTTCCTATATCCTTCAATCACGCCTTCACTGTCACAATATTTTACTTGCTTAA